AAAAAAACCCAAAAAAATTTTTTGGCCCCCCCCCAAAAAAAAAACCCCTTTAAATTAGGGGGGGGGGGGAAAAAAAAAAAAAAAAAAAAAAAAAAAAAAGACTCCCATCGTAAGACATGTTTCCTGTACATCTCCACAAACCACGGTTTGTTTTTTTGTGTGTGTTTGTTTTACTCCCCCCCACCCCGTCAAAGTGGTCCTGGCCGAGAACAATTCAATCAGAATCTTTCAGTAGACTCCCTCTTTAATTCTGAGTGGGACCATCCAGGTTTCTGAAATCACAATCGACTGTAAGCGGACATGAGGAACGATTCGTTTCCGGTCCCCGGCTCATCATTTGTGCCTCTGCGTGTTCTTCTTCCGTTTTCGCCTGAAGAAACAGCAGCACCTGCGGACAAAACAGGAGAGACGTTAACGCGAACGTACGAGCGGCAACGCATGACGCAGAGGAAGCGGGTTGCCTTAGAAATGCTGCTACAATGTAGAAGAGTTAAGATTTCCGTGGCTTAAAAATCATTTTAGCATCAAGAACAAGGTGAAAGAAAGCACTTGCATCCACTGTGCGTCTGGACGCTTAGTCACTACCAAGGTTTTCATGTACAGGTGCATCTCAATAAATTAGAATATCCTCAAAAAGTGACATTTATTTCAGAAATTTCTTCCAAAATGTGAAATTTGTGCAGAAAGTGCTTAAATGTGCATTTATTTTTCATAAAATAAGTTAATTGACATTACAGAAAATAGTCATTGAGCTAAAAACAAACAAAACAAAAAAAAACGTCATTGCTAAAGAAATTTATTCCAGAGTTGTATCCAAACATCAATGGAAAGTTGAGTGGAAGGAAAAACTGTACAAAAAAAAGTGCCATTTATTTTGAAAAGCCAATTCATAAATTTGGTGGACAATCAAAAGCTGCGGACTTTCCCTGGGATCGGTGCTTCGAGAGCTGCCAGACACCAACATAAAAAGCATTAAAACACTAATTCATGCAAAAGGAATCCCACCCAAATATTCAGAGCTTACCCCACCGAATGCACTCAGAATATTTGCACAACACATGGACAAAATGTTCAGCAGGCGGAAGTATTGGGTTGTATTTTTTTGTTTGGTTTTCAAAAACTGAATATTAGGTTTAGGGCTGAAGCAATTAATCAGATTAATCGATTATCGAAATAATCATCAACTAATTTCCAAATCGATTAATCGCTAACTGGGCTATACAGACTCAAAAACAAGCCATTTTCTGAAAGAACACCACACTCAGAGCAGTAATTCAGCCAAAACTGCACAAAATAATGTATAGATTTTCTTATGTTTCTGAAGTTAAGTCAAGTAGATGTTTTTGGGAGATTTTTTAGCTGAAGATGCATCCTATGCTACATATACTCAAGCGTACACTAAAGGAAAGTCATATTAACACATTTTATGCAATACAATGTCTATTTTCTTATCTAAAAAAAGACATTGAACTATTTATTTGTATCTTTTAATGTATTTCTAATATTGCATAAAAAAGCTTTAAGTGGTTAAATGAAAAATCTGCAGAATGTGTCAATTTTGATCAGATTAATCGGCAGAACAACCAATTATTTAAACAATCATTAGTTGCAGCCCTAATTAATTTCCATAATAATAGGAAATTAGCAGAACCAAAAGCTTGATAGATCACTTCTTGTTTGTGTAATGCAACTAAAGGTTCTACCTTTTGATTCGAATGATTGAAATGACCCCGACTTTTCAAAGATGCTCTCATTGACTGAGCGAAACCTGTACATGGAAAGAGAGGGCGACTTTTCCCTGTATGCGCTAAAAGAAAAGCACATGAAAAGCACAAGACATGGCGAGCCTGAGCGCTCAGTAAGAACACACAGAGACAAGACATAGGACAGTGACTGGGTTCTTTTAGATAAATAATGTCAAAACCAATAAACAAATGCTTAAAGCCTGTAAAGAAGCTACCGAAGCCTCATAGAAAGACCAGCTTAGTATTTCTGCCATGATCCGCCACTAGTTCCAACATCATCGTGAAAAGAAGAAGCACTACTTAACTTATTGCTAAAATGACTGAATTAATTGGAAAAACAATAGAAAACCGCACTTGGGTTCAAGGCAGTATTGTACCAGTGAGAGTCTGCTTAAACTTAGTGAGTAACTCCACTGGGCCCAGCCTAGGCCGGTCCACTCCCTGTCCCATGAGTATGATGTGGACAAGCAGAGAGGGACTCACCACAGGTTGAGCATTTTCACGCAGCTACAGAAGAAGAGAGAAGAAAGAGTGTAAAGAGAAAAGAAAGGTAGATTAATACAGCAGGACTAGGTTGATGGGAGTCGGCGCACAAACGCCAAACACACACACAACACACACGCACACACACAACACAGGTGGACACAGAGGGAAAGACAAATTAGAAGAGGAAAAGGATTCCATCTGATTTATTTAATGCTGCTGAACTGATTAGTGTGTCAAGTTAAAGTCAAATTTACACTCATATTCTGAAGGTCTCAATTTGCACAAAAGATTGAAGGGCATAAAAACAAAAGAGAAACCAGTAGTACCAGTACAAAAACTGGATTTGATTGGAAGAAAACATCCTGCACTTTGAGATATAGAGAGATTTTTTTACATAATCAATTGGTTCAAGCATATTGCTTAACAAGTTATTATTCCTAAATGTTTAAGAGAGCAGTTGTAAAGTTACGAAGCCTGATTCGAGCATTTCAATTATATTTCCTAAATGGTATCAATTTTTAGTTTTTTGTTTAGTTTTAACCAATTTTTATTTATTTTTATTTATTTTACATTTTTTTCTAAACACAAGAGGAAAACATGCTGTAGTTTTTTTGTTACAGGCAGAAATTTTGAATCCAACAGAAAATGAAGTTTGTAGATGATCCACACTTAAAGCACAACCCTTTGTATCCTATGGTGATACAATGAAGCAAAAAACATTTCATGAAAACATATTTTAAATAACATTCAAGTTTAATTATTGAAAGATTAGTTGAGAAATTAGCTTCATTCAGGTTTGCAAACCGCACTCCACATCAGCACTTGTGTTGTGCTTACAATAGTTTTTAGTGTGGAAGTTTCTACTGACAGAAGAAGAATCAAAACTAGCTGTTTTCAATATCTGTGAGCTGTTCAGGAAGTTTGAAACAGAAACAAATGAAGACATTTAAGAAGAAACTTTTTTCTACAGAAGCATGCTGGCAGCTCATTCTACTGCTTAAGCAGCAGACTTAAAAATCAACAGGAAGGCTAAATCTACCAAAGAAAAGTTTACAATGCCAACTCCATAGTCATTTTGATGGTTCTTCAAATGAAATGAAACTTTGGACATTAAGATCAGGCTAATTAATGTCAGAAAAGTCTAAATCAAAGCACCGCTAATGGAAATGACTATTTTAAACGGACCTCAAAACCCACGTGAGATTATTTATGCATTCATGATATTTTCCTTCATGAATAAATATAACACCAAAAAGCCATCCATACGTGCAGTTTTAATTATTCATGGGTACAGACAGTACTGGCTCAAAAGACAAAGCTAAGCTGCTTCGGTCACCACGTTTACATTTATTACGGGTAGTTTCTAATCGCAGGCCAGAAACACACTATATGATAAGGCCTTAAATAAGCCGGCCATCATGCTAAAGATTTGTGTGAGCAAAGCAGAGACCTGCAATCTGAATAAATGGGAGAAACCTCTGCTGAAGGTGTTTGGTCATGATGGTTGTCTCCTGAGAATGAAGGCAGTAACTCAGGAAGGAGTGATCAGCTCAGTAGGACTGAAAAATCCCCTCATCTATGTCTCTGTTGGTACTTCTGCTAAAAGGTGATCAATCATCTACTTCACTGTAACATGAAGTACAAAAAAACGTACAAAAGAATGCACATCATGCAGGTGATGCCTGCAACAGCAATATGATGAGGCTAATAAGAAATTAAAAATGTCTTTAATAATGAAAAGAAACATTTGCCCCCACTGTATGTCAGTCTAATTTACATTAAATTGTTTATTCAGTTTACTTTCTGTAAATATTACTTACTTGAAGTAAAGAATAACGTGAAAAAAGCCATATATAGGAGAAAGGATTAAATAAGTTTGCACTTCTGCCTACCTCCTTTCCAAACAGACTATCAAAAAAATATATATTTTACTGTTTGAATTGTGAATATGTTTGAAATAAATAAACTAAACTATGGTTCCTGTTGTCGTCTTTGTCTTTTCCGCCAGTGGAAACATCCAGTCGTTGATCACATATGTGATGTGGAAAAAAAAAAGCGTTTCCATTGCAGTTTCGTAAAATAGACTAATTTATCCTAGCTCAAAAATTGATTGAAAAACGTGAGTTTGTTTGAAATTGGAGTGTTTCCATGAAGCCAATTTATTTTCAGAATCCCAGTTGTTTAAAATAATCAGCATTTTTCCTGTTTCGTAAACATGTTTCAAAAAGCACTTCCTCAAATATGTGGACAAACAAAACAAAACAAACAAAAAAAGAAACCCAGCTGCTTTCTTAGTGCCTTTTTGTTTTGTTTTTGGAGACATACGTTTCTAAACCTAAATGGGGATAATAATATGATCCCTTTATTTTGTGTTGGATTCAAAACTGTGAGCAAAACTTTGTGGATATTCTGCTATCTTAAAGCGGAATCAACATCACTTTTTTAGTCAAATTGAATTACTATATTTAAAGTAAAGGCTACATAAAGCACCACAATGGAAACTTGAATCTTATTAATTGATCTGCACCAAATGTAAGTATTTGAGAGAAATTCACTGAGATAATGTGACAGAGAAACTCGAGTTCAGTAAATTAAGACTATAGCAAGAGGTCTAGGCTGTAACATTACCACAGAGAGGTACAGAAGGAGGAAGACTGGAAGGAAGAAAGCAAGAGAAGGACATGGAAGAGAGGCGCAGAGGGCTCAGGATACGTACTTGGGCTCGTCGACCACTTCCACATCTGCCTGAGGTGTAATCGGGGTGTTAGATTGAGCCAGCGGGTCGTCTGCGTTCAACTCGCCGTTGGTTGAGCTGACCACCTGCATCAAAGACGGGTGTTACTTCTGATTAAAAGTTTGAAACTGCCACAGTTTCACCCAATAATGCTGGCCAGAAACAACACGAGACACAAACACTTCAGCAGCTCAGCTCTGGTTTAGAGTCTCAAAGCCCATTTCCAAGAGACTTCTTCCCCAAACAACACGGAGGGTAGAAGCCCAATAAAATGCTCAATCTAAAGTTATAGTTAAGTAACACACCTGGTAAATGCTGGTAAGCATTTTATAACATGACTAAACAGTGAGCAAAGATTTTAACATGAAAGGTAAAAGCTCCCCCCAAATAACTATTTAGAGTTATCAAACTATATTTGTAGCTCAAATTGTGAAGAAAAAAAGTACTGTACTCATTATTCTCAAGTATCATTAAACTAAACTTTGTTTGAAGTGCATAATGAATCTCTGTACTTCAACGAATTACCGAAATACAATGAAAATATATATTTAGCGGTTCAAAGGTGTCTTTCACTGTAAAGTTACAGCTTTTCAAATCCAAAATGAAAATGTAATAATTTATTTAAAAATATACTAATGTAGGTTTTTTTTAAAGCCTACTTTACTGTATTTTATTAAATCAATTTAAAAATTTAAACTTGACTAATTGCACCTAAAATCAAAGTAAATTTTATGGATAATTTCTCATTTGCCCTCAACATATTTACACTTTGAGCAAGCCAGGTTAAGGTAATAAATAAATAAAATTATAAAAACAATAGCCAGAATCGCCCTTTGAGCATAACAAACCATACCCAGCATGCATTTCCTTGGCAGAGCCAGTTCATCCTGCCATGCAAAAGTGTGCTGATTTTATAAAAGAAGTGCTCAGACTCAGAGTCATTAAATGTAGAAACCAGAGCTCAAAATGCAAAACTGCTTCCAGATGCCAAAGAAAAAAAAAAAGGAAGAAAATTCTCTTTGAACATGTGGGGTGGGTGGCACCAGATCACATGCATACGGTGGAGCAGAAAACAACATTTCCCAGCCAGGGGTAAAGCAAGTAAAACGCTGTAGATCTGTCTCACATAAAATGCAAAGCTACGATGTAAGACGACAACAAAAATATTGTATTCACTTCATAAAGTCTCATAAAACTCTAAATAAAAAAAAAATGTAATAAGAAAGACAACTATGCAGGGAATTGTTGTGTTTACATTTTAAGTGCTGGGATACTTTATGAGACAGATCTGACTTCATGGAGGCTGTGGGGTGAGGGTGGTGGGGGCGGGGGGTGTTGGCTGATCGGGTAAGGGGTGTGTACCTGCACTGAGCCCCCGTGCCTGTCCGCTGCCAGGTGGGAGGTCAGATAGGAAGAGTTTGCTTGCCGCGTGGGCTGCACCTCCCATGCTCCTCGTCGGTCTGAGCCTGCCGTCTGCTCGGGGGAGTCAGGGGTTGCCATAGTGATGTGAGGGGGGAAGTGGGGTTCGGGGGTGAACGGGGGTGGGGTAGGGGGTGCAACGGGAGAGGGAAGGAGGGGTGAAGGTGATGGAATAATTGCATTAGAAAAGATGGCATTTGGGTGTGTGAAGCAAGGTACCATGCGAAAGCGGCATGACCAATGAGGAAGGAAACAAAATAGAAAAAAAAAAAAAAAAAAAAAAAAAAAAAAAATAAAAAAAAAAATCTAAGCAAGGCCTGAGTCTAAAGCCAAAGGAAAGGAAAAAACAAGCTCTTGCAGCTTGAATTGCACCGAGTACAGAAATTCAACCACCCACATATGGATGAAAATCTTTTGAAATAGCACAAAAGATACTAAAATGCGCTCCTCAAAAAAAGGTAATTTCAGACTCCCTTACGAAAATATTCAAACCACTTCAGCGTTTATATATTTTATTTTTTGTCTCATTATTGTAACAATGCTTTTGTTAAACATAGGAGTAATGATGTGATGACTTCCTGAAGGAGGAGTTTCAGAAAGTTTTAGAGACAGAGGCCCGATTTCAAAGTGCTACATTAGGAAGTAACATTTTTTTTATAGTCACATTTGATATGTACATCATTTTTATAACAGCTGAAGGTAACATGGTTAATTGATTATGCTGTAAAATGGCACTATATGAATGGAAAACACACAGCACTGCCCCTTTAAAAGATCAAATCAGGCAGGTTTGATTCAATATTCCTGCACATCGCTTTGTAAACCTGCCAAACAGCTTCCCCTGTTCTTACTGGAACCGACTCTCTCTGCTCTGAAACATACCTGATTTCGAACCGGAGGGTGCTGCGAGGGCCGTTCTCTGTGAGGATGGCTCTCTCTTGTTACCGCAGAGGCACCAGAGTCTATATGGACAGATCCCACCGGCGTGGGCTGGCGGAAAGGAACGAAGAGGCGAATTCAAGGATTGGCCTATTTAAGGCATAACCTTAAAAACAACAGGGCTCACTTACTATCTGCCTCCCAACCCAGTCGTAAGTATAGTCAAACGTGTATCCTTTTCTCTCAAACAGCTCAGTAAACAGAGTCCTCAGATATTCGTAGTCGGGCTTTTCAAAGAAGTCTAACCGCCTTACATACCGCAAATAGGTGGCCATTTCCTCTGCGTGAAAGGAAACAAAAAAGAAGCTTCACATGGGTAAAGTACAGGTTAATATATAATTACCTGAAAATGCTAAAGACAATTTACTGTCTAGCAAAAGTTTATGACAGACCTACGAATGTCATCTTCACAGAGAAAGCTTTAAAACAAACTTAATTGATATTTCCTCCATTTCTAGGAAATACTATTTCATTTTAAGAATTGCAAAGATTATTATTTTTTAAATAATCAGAGTAAATTCATAAACTCATCGGCAGCAGCATACCTGGAAAATTCTCACAGAGGACTTCAATAGGAGTGTTTCGTTTTGTATCACCAATCTTCTGGTATCTTTCTTTCAAGGTGTCAGCCTAAAAAAAAATTTTTAAAAATAAATGAGAACATCATAAAAGAACATTTCAGTTCTATTTTCTGGAATATTAACTTTTTATTGAATAACACAAAATGGTTAAAAACATGCTAGAGAAATCTCTTCATGGAAAGAAAAGAAAACTCAAAGCACATTTTAAATGTGGGATCTTTCATCCCACTGAATTCCTTGAGGTGAATTGTGAATAATTTGCTGCACATCTCTCCCCCATGTTCCAGTCTACAAAACCTACACTAAGTCCAAATCTGGACCGTCTATGGATCAAATATTTGAGATCACAACAAGTGTCCAAAATGTATTTAATTAGTGTGAAGGGTAAAAAACCCAGTAACATTTTGTCTTGTTTTTATTTCATTTATTGACATTATTCTATGAATAAGTAAGGCAACAAAGTAGAGACACATTTTATTAGTTATTTTTCAAAGAGAAAGTATCAACTTCTAATGGTAAAAATGGAAAAACTTATGAATATATACACTATTACATCAAATGCGTTTCTATTTAATGATGAATGTTTTCCTAAGCAAGATACGAAACATTCTCCACAGACTCGGTGACATGGCCTCGTCATACCTTTAGTCCTTGCCAAGGTAAACTCCCACGTAGAAAATACATGAACATGTGCCCTAAAGCCTCCAGGTCATCTCGTCTGCTTTGCTCTGTATGAACACATTATTATTATTATTATTATTTTTTTTTTTTTTCATTTTTACATTTCATTTACACAAAAACAAGGCTTTAAACGTTCGACATATAGGACTTTAGTAAGTAAACCTTGAACTTTTTCCCATTTTTCAGGTTAAACTTACAAACTTTAATGTGTTTTTGCAGGATTTCATGTGAAAAGTTAAACACAAAGTAATCCATGATTGCGAAGTTGAAGCAATACAATACTAGAAAGGTTTTGACAGAGGACTGTTGCTCTGTGGGTAGAGTAGTAGTAGCTTCCTCCTGCTACGTGGGCAAGGCACTAAACCTTATGGTGGGTTCACACCAAACGCGTTTTGAGCGTCAGGCGTCTCCGGTTTACATCCTAAGTCTTTGTGGAGGAGCGTCGAGGGCCTGTGCGTAGCGTTTTGAGCATCTAGCACGGCACAATTTGAAGCATTTTGAGTGTTTGAAACATCCAATATTCCACATAGACTTTGAATGTAAACAGATGCGTTTGACGCTTAAAACGCGTTTGGCGTGAACGTACTGTAAAGTTACCAATCAATCTACGTATTGGTGTATAAATTTAGAAATATTAACGTAGAGACTGCTGAATATAAATTCTCACCGCGCTTTCTGGATTTTTATTTGCAAAAAAAAAAAAAAAAAAGTTAACCATGAAACTTTTTTCCTTCCACTTAAGTTTAGCATTACTTTGTGTTCATTGTATAAAATCCCAATAAGTCAACACCACAAAACGGGGAAAAGTTGAGTGATAGCATGACCCTGCATCAAACTCCAACAAAAACACAGCTTTGGCAGTGTCTTACCTTTGCCTAAGTGTGTGTTAATGGACATGTATCTGGCAGTACCAGTCAGGCTCTTATGCTCCCGGTATGGAATGTGTTTTTTGGTCTCGGGGTCGATGTACTCTTTGGCTAGGCCAAAGTCGATGATGTGGATGATGTGCTCCTTTTTATTCCCTTGCCTTCCGATGAGAAAGTTTTCAGGCTTGACATCTCTGTAGATGAGATTTTTAGAGTGCACATACTCCATTCGAGAAATCTGGTGTGGGGAGAAACGAGCGGAATCAGCCACAGAAAACATTCCAGCGTCCTCCAAGTGAGAAAAACAACAACTTGTTCGACAGCGCCGGTACCCACCAGCTGAATTGCAATCATCAAGACGGTCTTCAGTGAAAAGGTCCTGTCGCAAAGGTCAAACAGATCCTCTAGACTCGGCCCCAGCAGCTCCATGACCATGGCATTGTACTTCCCACAGGGGCCGAAGTAGAAAACCTGCGGTACTCCCTCTGCTGGAGAAGTGAAATGACACGAAGACTTCAGAAAAGACGAAGCGGGACCTGTTTAAAGGCACATCCTGCCCTAACCTGACATGGTGTCTCACCAGGGTTTGGGTTGAGGGTACTAGTGGTACAGATGAAATATAATCTTTTCACAGACTCGCAGCACAAACTCCCATTACAATCATATCCTCTAAGCTTCACTCAGTCTAATTGCTTCACATTTTCATGCATTCATCATCTCGTCTCTTATTTTATTACTTGCCAATGAGCAGTTTACTGCTGAGTGGGCAGTCTAATGTGACTATAATGATGGTAGAGATGAGGCCCTTTTACTACTCTGTTTGGGTTGTTTGTCATGGTGGTCTTCTGGGCATTGAAGCTCTTTGTTTCAGAAGAGCATTAAGGAAAAAAAAAAAGCTGGAGCAGATCCACGTGAAGTCCTTTAAAGTTATTCTTCTTTAACAAAGGATCCGCATGCAGCCAGAGATGCTGTGACTCGAACGGAGGCTGTCATCCTGACTGCATCGTGGTTTCAAAGAACAGGAAATCAGGTCAAACTGGTAATTGGCTTCAGGGAAGCATGACTCAAAGTTTGCTCCTTCTTACTGCCAGTCAGCGCCCATTAAAAGTGTCTTCCCAAGAAAGTTCAAAGAAAGCTTGCATTTTATTTTAAAAAGCTTATCGAACAAAGGTGTGGTCAATCATGGGAAATCGGCTCTGGAAAGCGAGGGATGTTTTTGATACAGCATAAGAGTTTTGTTCAGAAGATAGTTTGATTTTAAAAAGTGTTAAAAATATGTAAATCGTCTGACAGAGGAGCAACAATCAGCACATCAAAGTACAACACATTCACATACGAAGATGCACAGAGAAAGTGGCTGATGATCAGGTGGTCAACTTTTAGTTTCATGAGCCTCAGTTATTGCCCGACCAGACAGAAGCATATTGATAGGATCTTTTTCTGATCACTGAATGCGACGTAATGAGAGCTGCCATGATGTAGAGCAAAAAAATAAGAATGTTGTGAATCAGGTGTCTTTCATGTCAGGGGTGGAGTTGCCACTAAATACATCTTGTATTAACTTGTTTTATTATAGCACGTTAATACAAATGTTGTTTGTTGCCATGACTTCTCAGTTTTGTCTTTTCCTCTTTCTGCAGGTGTAGGAGCAGACTTCCGACTTTCTCGCCTCTACTCGTTTCCCTTTAAACCTTTTCCCCACCTTTCCACTCTCCTCTCTTTTCCGTCTTTGTGCCCACTACATTTAAAATGAAACCAAAGAAATTTCAATTACATATATATCAAGTGGAGAATCACTGTGAAAGCCGCAATGCTAGGCCTGTGAAAATAAACCTGTTGGGCTTCACCTCTGCATTCGGACAACAATTCTGAGTTCCACTCTGCCAGATATGTAAAAAGAAAAGAAAGAAAGAACAAAAGGAAGAAAGACACACTGTAAAGTAGAATGTAGTAGAGTGCAGAATCCTAACTTTTGCAAAAAAAAAAAAAAAAAAAAAAAAAAAAAAAAACACACTAACTTCTGTTCAGATACTTACATCTTCTTGGGATTGCACACAGAGATGATTGACCAGCTAATGCTAACCAAAACCCAAAGTCAGTTAGAAATAACATTTATGTAACTATTTTGCCCCTTTTTTTCAAAATATTTCAACTGTTTTACAGCAGCGGCTCTCACACAGTGTGACGTTGCCCCTGACTCTGATATGAATAATGAATTCTAATGACCAGTTGAAGTTCCAAAGCTCGTCTTATGGTTCTTTAAGTGAAACTGGAATTGGCTTAAAAAAAAAAAAGAAAAAAAAAGATATTTCAAAAGTATTTCAAGAGCCAGAGATTGGAACTCCACTCCTACAGACATCCAAACAGCCCTCTATTTGTCAGTCAGTGCTTTAGGCATGAATTGTGAAAAGTGGCATTCTTGGCAGTAGATGGCGCATGGGAATGTAAAAGGTAGCTGCACTGGATCCTCTGCCATTATGTAGTTTTGGTGGGTTGTTAATTGCACCGCAGAAATGAGTGGATCTAAACCCAGGGTGGCTGCGGGAAGTCTAGAAACGGTTTAGATATAAGATGCGCTATAAATTAGTGGAGAGGCTTAAAACAAGGCTGGTCAAGCTTTTGAGAGCTACCAAACATCAGTGATGACGTGAGCATCGATGTTTGGAAAAAAAACTGTCATGATGAGTAAAGATACTTCCCAGTACACAGGATAATGACTCTTCCCAGTTCTGCAGAGCATCTTCCTTTTACCCATTCTCTTCTTAATATCAATTGTGATTTTAATTCATTAAAAATTCTATTTATGTTCTTGGAACTCTAATTTGTAGCAGACAATAAGGTGTGGCTTGAAATCCCACAGAAAGCCCATTCCCATGTTTATCCAATCCAAGTTTTTCATTTCTATGAAGCTCTAGAACGAGATGTTCACTTTTAAGAGAGTGAAGTGTTTCATGGCATGACAGATAATACCTTTAACACCTCCTCTGTGTAAACTAACCCTTATACAAACAGCTTTCCTCCTCAAACATCACCGTCCTCATCATTCTTCCCGTATGATTTGAGCCGAACAACTGAAAGCCGACTCTTACGGCGTGATGGAATCATCCTCATTAATACCCAGGGACATTTGGTTACGCATCAGCAAACAACACCTGACAGAGGGTCAGAGTAAAGCCGCATAAATTCATAAAAACGCCGCCTGCACAGATGCAAACAACCCCTTCGCCTGAGAGGAATGTGGTACAGCGAGCAGCCAAGACGAAATGAGGTCACATTATCCCATCTGGAGGAGAGGACAGAGGTGGGTTAGCGCTAAGAGAGGCAAGGCCTGCTTGCTAAATATTTAATGGGTTTCCGCACAGTTGGCCTTTTCCAGTCTGTGCCTTTTGCAAAACAATAGCCATTATTCTCCCAGACCGATTATCATGTGGACCTGCGGAAATCCAAAATCTCATCATGATTCGTAACTAACCAACAGCTTTAAAGCCTTGTTGAGGCCTTTTTACTTTTTAATAAGTTTAGATATTTATAAATCAAACTTCAGACAGACATATTTATTTAATGTTGGCAGGTTTTCTATATTTTTTTTGCGTTAAAACTGACACATTATGCTTTTGAGGCCAAAGAATTATAATAACCAAAAAAAAAAACTGTTTTATTATGAGTTATAAAAATAGGATTTGTGCAAAATATAGAATGTCAGCACAAGTTCCAATCTCTCCCATTAAAACATAGAGAGTACTTCTACAAAACCTTTGTAAACAGGTAAAAATTTAGAGTGAAGGAAAAAGTTGCATCTTTCTGTGCAACTTGCTGTTGCACAGAAAGATGATCAACAAATCAAGAAGCTGACTGACTCCATGACTGAAAGGCCTATCACTGTTACTGAAAAGAAGGGTGGCCATACTGGTCACAGATTATTATTATTTTTTTATGTTTATTGGAAAGTTTAGTGTTGTTTGTGTCAAATTTTCATTAACAGAAAGAATAATAAATTACTATGGGAAAATGTAGGTTTTTTCTATGCTTGTCAAACAATTATACACATATTAATAATGTAAGAAGACAAAAAAATCATTCATGTTTGAGGTTTATGAACATTTTTGATTAACCAGCAGCACTCTAGTTGTCCTCAAAAAATATGCTAACAGCTGCAGCATGTGTTGAAAACTAAACTAAAAACTAAACTTTTCTGAAATTTAATACTTAATTTCAGATCAGGATCACAGCATTTTAAAATTATTCTAATTGGAGATCCTGACAAACATCAGCCTGTACTCGACAACAGACACCTATGATTTTATGACTAGCACCCTCAATGTGCTGTACTGTGAGTATGTCTTGGCAGACAAGTTTGAAAATCAATGCCTGCTTTTCATGTTTAAAATCTTAGAGGGAATTTGAATGGATGACCGGGATTAATTAGGAATGGTTGGGAAGGAAACGGTGTCTCTGCTGGACGCAGACGGGTTTGTCTGGGCAACCTTGGAAAAGATACAAGGCATCAGAAAAGACGGCACAGGGCAGAAACCTTTAATCCCAACTGAGCTGGAGACAACAAGAGGCGAGCAAGACACAAAATCCTCTTGCCTTTGGGTTGATCATTTGTCTTTAAAACGGCGGTCTTATGTTTCAGTCAACCATAAAATCTTCATATCTTTTCTAGGTTAATAAGAAGCCCAACTTCAACTCAAATAAAAGAAACTGTATCCCTACAAGGCATCTCTAAAGGTCACTGTCCCACACAGAGCAAATACACGGGTAGGCCTTCATGCACTCTTTGCACACAATATCCTGGGAGATTAAAGCGAGCTCTTAAACCAGCTCAATATCTGCTCAGAGATGTGTAATCACTTGTTGTGGAAATGATGCAATCTCTGGCCTCATCTTCCAAAACAATGAAATCATTATCATGCAGTCACACACATAAACACAGCAGGGAATTAAATCCAAATCTTTGATCTCACCTGTGGTCCCCAGGCTTTTGTAGAACCGGTACTCCAAATGTAGCTGTGGGGCCCTCGACTTCACTGGTTCCTACACGACGTGCACGTAAAAGATTAAATTCATTTTATAGTGGAAAAAAAATTATAAAAATATCACACACACAAAAAACTCCAAATAAAACAAGACGCATTGATTAGGCTCTTTATACTGACTGTTGGTTTTCTTTGAGGTCCGACTCTGTTTTTGTCTGATTCCATTTTTGTTTTCTTTGTACTAAAGATGCATAAAAAAGGAAAAGTCTACTGCAGGTTCTTTTAATCTAGTGGTTTTGAAAAAAAGTCAATAAAATCAAAAGATTGCAAGAGCATCTCCACTTCAATCCAAACATATATCCCTCACCTTTATTGAACAAAGAAATACACTGAACTATATGCCAAAAAGATAGTGTGGGTTCTTAGTTACGACATTTAATTACTAAAAAACATATTTAGGTATTTGATGTGTTGTTTATTGAGGAAAGCTAATCAACGCAAAAACTGATCTCTAACCAACTGATTGGTGCATATCTAAATAAAATAAATCACCTTTTTCCACCTAAAATGGAAAGAGTCAAAGATTAAAAAAATTAAAAATTCATGTGCAGCAGTAGTAATGAGTAAAATGTTAAACTGCAGAGAACTTACCAGTTTAATGGCTACATACTCATTTGTGTACAGATTTTTACCTAAAATAAGACAGAAAAGTAGAAGTATATTAAAAATCGGACATTTCATCTGAGTGTAGTTATTCTTAACACTTATTATGGCTACTTTAGGGACATTTCACCAGACCTAACATCAAATCAGAATGGTTTGATGTAAGACCATTCCCACTTGCATCCATTCGACGGAACGTTTCATATTTAGTTTCAAAACCAGAGATTTAAGCACGTTTTTTATGTTCTAATCATTAAATCCATAAAGAAGCACATACATATTTAAGTAAATGGGCATAAAAGAGTTTGTGTACAGGCACAAGTGAAAGTAGAAAAAAAGCAAAATGGAGTTAAGAAATAGAGTTTAGATCAGGCCTAAAAAAAATCCAAACAGACCGACACCGAGTCGACACAACTAGCATTGATTTTAGGCCCAAGCCCAAAGCAAACCAGACAACATTTTAACTAAGCTTTTACTGCTTTTAATTTTCTGAATTTTTAACTCGATATGACACGAGTAACTAATGCCACAAGCCTCTCTTCGGCTCAGCGTCACTTCAGAAAAGATTCAAACCCCACGTACCGAGCTTCAGTTCCCCAAAGTTTCCACAACCGATCTTCTTCCCCACGCGAAAATTAGGTCCGACCATGAGAACGCCGGAGGTGTTGGAGGAGCCCGACGGTCGGTGTCCGCTCCGGTTTCCCTGGTTAACTTTGGTGCTTCTGGTCGTCCGCTCGCCATATTTCTCTCTTTGTTGATCCATGGCGTGCCGCAGCACTGGTCAGCGGGAGCCTCGAGTGACGCACGAAAGAAGGCCTCCTGGGCCGGGCCCACCGCAGCAGCCACAGCCCTGGTTACTGGTGGCACCTGGATGGCACAGTCGCTCTCATGGGCCAGAAGCTGGAGCCGTTAACCCGCGGGCCTCCCCGACCTCACCCTCTCAGCTCGATCAGTTGCTAGGCCTCGACATCTGTCACACAAGGAAGGTAGAGACCTGGAGAGAAGAATAAAATCAGAGAGGACAGGTTAGATCTCAGATATGTGGGTCTGAAAGGGCTTAATTTATATTATTACTATGAAATATAGCAGAATGAAGAATAAAAATAAATAAATCTAAACCAGACTGTAGGAAAAAATAACCAGGCTTGACAATCCTACCAGGATAGTTCTTATTTACAAAGCAAACTGTGCAATGACCTCTTAACACCAGAATAGCAGACTAAGCAAGTATATTTAAAAAAAAAACTCTTTAAAGACAACTTCACTTAAGTTGCAACTAAAAAAAAAAAAAAAGACAGGCAAAACAGCACAAGGAAGTAAGAACAAGAATCTGATGGAAAGAAACCATCAGATTCGGGGAACGGGGAAGTGGAAGCAGCTTTAACATATCTTTAACTACCAGGTTCTTTACTTAGCTTTGAACTTTCATTTAGGTCTATGTGTAAATAAACAGAAAAACAGAACTGGGTTTCTTAGCAGAATTCATTTAGAGGTACGTGTAAGTCTTCCAGTAAAGCAGCAGACAGAAAGTGGACCATGAAGGAGATCATTTTGTCCTTTAGTACGTGTCTGCAGACGCTTTTAAAAAGAACGTACAGAGTTTTCAATGTTCAAAATAACTCTGCATTGGACAGGCTAAATTAAAACAAACAAAACATAAATACCCCATCAGATCCCACGTCGCCATCTTTCTGTTTTTTTTTTGTTCTTTTTGCCAGTTCTGTTATTTTACATTGAATTAAGTAGAAAAACTGTCAAACAAGTAAGAATAACCCTTGCTGTTTCTACAGGACTCAGGAGGAAAAGTAGCAGCCATGTGCTGCTAATCAAAGCAACTTGAGGAGCAACAGGACGATCACCTCAACAAGAGCAGCAGTTTCGGCAGTTTGCAGGTCTGAAGAGTGACAACGCTAAGCCATAAGGAAAAAGCCAGAAACAACGAACCTTAGAAAAGGTGGCACAATATCAAAAAAATATGCAACTGTGATAAATGAGATGACGATATCGATTATAATTTTCAATCAATTTTTTTCCACACCTGACAGTTCGGTAGACTCGGTTTGATTGGTGTCCGAGTGGTCTTTGTAATTTTTAAGTTGTTTTGTTTCTGATAAAAAAAAAAATCTGTTTTCTGCTGATATGACTGTATATATATTCGCAATTAAACAAAAATTCTCTTGGCCTGACTTATACTCTGTCATGATTAAAAAAAAAAGTCACTTTTTGACAACCTTTTCTGTAATTTCTGTTTTTAGAAAAGAAAGTGGTTTTAAAAACAACAACAAAAAAAGACTCATTCACAACCTTCAAAACAAGCGCAGATTGCGAAAGTAGGTCAACGGCGGTTCGCTGTAAAAAAGCACTGCTGTCCTTAAGAGATAGCGATCAAGTCACAGTGGTCACAGAAAACACCGCGAGCAGTTTTAACATCAACACAAAGCTTAAGGCATAGTATATCATCACAAAGGCATTTCACACACCACCCACAGCTACAACCCGGCGGACAATGCCAGAGGAGAGTATTATGTCAACAGTTACATAAAGCCACGTCTACCTCCACTCGACTGCAGATCTAAAAACCGCTTGATTACCGCTGATGAAGACAGCTCAGTGTTTTATTATGTAATGACAAGTTATGTTTCGTCAATAGTGCTAAAATCCATCTATTTAGGTCTACTGCAGCAAAATAAACATTCTGATTTTGCTCAGAAGTATCCATTTCACAAAAAAAGAATCATTTTAAACACCTATTAGTAATTCAGTGTGAAAAAAAACACAAACTGTTTTGAATACAATGGCATAATTCCTGAGTATGGTAAGGCTGATGCTGAAGGTATTGTGTGAGTGTGTGTGTGTGTGTGTGTGGGCTTCTGGATGACTCATGCTCAGTATTGCCTGCACAGATCTCAGCATCAAAGACAGCCCGTTTGCTCTCAAGGGCAACAGAGCTCCGTTGCTATTACATAAAGCCAAGAGCATAACAACACAACAATAATAATAAAAAAATAAATAATAATAATAAATACGTTTTCGGAGCCAAGCTGCAACGGCTTCCGCTGGGCAAATAATGATTTGTGGGCCGTTCTAATCCTAGCGTTTTGATTAGCAACCGAGGAAGAGCTCCCTCATCTTCACACACACACACACACACACACACACGAGCTGGGCCCTCGAAACGCTTTCATTCAGTTCACACCGCACGATTATATCGGAGGCACCGCAGTTCACTTTACAGCTGCATGGTTGTTACAGAGATAATTGCTTGTGTTTATAAAGGAAGAGAACAGCTTCAGTGATTTTTAGGGATGTGTGTAGAAGCCCAGAAAAAGGGTAAAAAAGTCTACTACTGAATTTAAGGGAAAGATTTGTTGCTTTTCTGTTTTAAACAAGTAATTATGACCTGTTTTGCATTCCCGTCTCAAATATTTGTGTAAATGCTACAACACCCTTGTGTTTTTGTTACTCAAGGTTATCACACCGACCCATGCTTATGCATCATTCATCTACCCAGCAATGCTGCGGTCACTCTGGATCTGACATGCCCGACCAGAAGACTGCCGTGGAGACGTAAACAGGAGGTAAAACCTGCAACATCTTTCCCGTGGCTTTCCCATGTTATTTTGACTGATTGGACATGCAAATTTACAAGACGAGAACTGATGTGTCGTGGAAGGCCAGCAGGTGTCTAAAAATAGAAACTGCCTGTGCTGAACATCTCTTTCAGTTGGATCTGTGTAAAGGGTGTAGCAGGATTGTGTGATCCCTGATGAGAGGTGGGGAATCCCCGGCCTTCGTCCCTGTGAAAGCAGCACGTCTCCAGACAAAGTGAGGACGTGTTGCGTGCCGCACACCTGTTGGCTGAACTTAGAGAAAAATGCATTCCTCAGACGGAAAACACGTGAAATCATTTGATTTGACCTTTTATCGACTGGTGGATTCTAGAAGTTATAATCTCTGTAAGAAACTTCCAAATGCCACGACTCGAGTAAGTTTTATCCAGCAGTCTGTAGTTAAATCAGACCAAACCTTTCTTGTTTTTATGTCAGTTTGAGTTATTTCTATTTGCTAAATGTCAAATTAGATTTCTTTTTAGAAGTCAGAAGGTTATATTAATTTGTTTAGGGAATATAATCTTAATCTGTATGCAGAGTTTACAATAAGGGTATTATAAGTCTGGCAGGCCACCAGGCTTTACTTGTTTATTTTAAATAGGGTTTTTTTTTTAATACAGTAGAGACAGATTAAGCCAAGTTTATAGTTGACGTGTTATACTGGGCATGAGGCAGTGCGCACCAACTGCACCCTCCCTACACGCTATTATTTTTCAAATTATGATGCCTGCTCGTGCACCTCCAAATTTTTGTAACTTTTAACGCTTTTCAATACAAAAATACGTTGATTCCTACCACATGGCTCAGCAGGTTTTCTGGAGGGAACCCTGGTATGACTCGAGTCAAACATTTTGGGTTTCCTTCCACGAGCTTCTCACATTTGCTTGCTGGAGCCAAAGAGCGCGTTTTGTCCTTAAAACACTTTGTAACCACTTTGGTTGTTTACTTGGCGTAATTGTCCAACTGAAGACCAATCTACCCCCAAGCTCTGACTTTCTGGTTGATGTCTTCAGATGTTGCTTCAATATTTCTTCATAATGTTCTTTCGTCATGATGTCATCTACTTTATGAAATGCAGCAGTTGCCGCTTCCATATTTCACAGTTGGGATGGCGTTCCCATTTGGCCATTTGGTTGTAATGGCCAAACAGCTCAGATCACAGGACCTGTCCTCAGATCACAGGACCTGTCCTCAGGTATTAAGGTATTTGTCCCTTTGCAAACTGCAGTCTGGCATTAATTGTCTTTGCTTTGGAGCAATGGCTTCCTCCTTGCTGTCAATACAGGACACGTTTCATGTTTCCTTGTACATAATGATACTGTCTTACCAGCTTCTACTAGCTTTTTCACGAGCTCCAATTTCCATCTAATTCTAAACAATTCTTTCTTTGTAAATGCATTAAAATAAATTCACTTCAGCTTAATATACATTCAAATAGTATCTGATTAAAACACATACAGTTCATAATACAACACAGTTACATTGAGTTGATCAAATCAATATGCCAATTGATATATTATTTGATTAAATAAAGAAAATGATAGCGAGAGTGTTTATTTTATGATTCTAAAACAGCAAAGGACTGTAAAAATATAATAGAACATTATGACCGCAATGATCAGCAACAAAACGCATTGCTTGAGTTAAATATAGCAGTTAACTTTCTCAAACTATATATTTTTTTAAAAAACAGCAAATATTTGATTCAAAACTTCAACAAATGTAAAAAGCTAAACTGAATTTATCATAACAAATATTTTCTGACCCATTTTGTCTTTAATAAAAACGGTGAATGCTCAGAGAGCAGTGATTAACCTTCAAGTGGAAAGATCAGCGTTTGAGGGGGGCCTGCCAGCAGCGCAGACCCCCACTGTGGCAGTGCCAGCTGCCTCTCATTTCGAATAAACTAACTTATCACTGTTTAGACTCTGATTACTAAAATATACATCGATTCTCAAAAGCCACATACCTGGTCACCTCCGTTTATGAAGAACTTTTGTTTTTTTCAATCTGGCTTTCAAATCAAAACTAATGAACACGTCTAAACCTTATTAAAGCAAACGTTTACATAAATGGTTGAGAACACAATCTGCCAAAACTGTAAATGTCTCAGGAAAAACACACAACGGGATGGCAGCCATTAATTCCTCCATCTCACTTGTATCAGTGTTCTGAATGTGCTGAAGAGCTACTGCCATTGGATTAAGAAAAATATATATATTATAATAAGACTCTCTACATTCTCCCTTTCGTTCCATTAATTAATTAGTTTTTGTCTTCAACTTAAGATTTGTCAGATGCCTGAGCCGACTTCTCTAGCGATCAAGATGTAAAAAATAAAGTCTAAGGTTCCAAATGGCAACGTTTCGTTACATTTTAAAGTCCTGAATTGTTTTCATCGTTTCCTTGCATCTCTGCACATCTGAGTATTGCAACTTTTTTTTACAAATAATTACGCAACTTTATAACTTTTGACATTTATTTCATTTAGACCAAACATTTTGACTTTGAAAAAAAAAGTTGGTGTCAAACTTGGAATTTTTTCCTTATCTTACTGTTTCAATGGTTTGAAGTCATTTTAAAGAAACGCCAAAGGAGGAAATTGAGTTTTCTTTTGGCCAGCAGCTAAGAATCAGACACTTCCTGCTGCGCACTGCTGGTCAGCTAGATGCATAAAGAAATATAAATGGAACTGTTTGGAAATGAAAAAAACAATAAAAGAAATAAATAAATCTTAATGTCATGTTTTGGAAATTCAAAGGGTGCTACCCAATCAATCTATTTTTAGATATTTCCATTATAACTAGAAGGTGTAATATTTTGTACCCAAAGCACTTGGAAACTTTACATATAAACAAATGTTATAATGCTAATTTTAGTGATCCATACACTTTTGCAGAAAATAATCATTTAGCTTAGAGTACTCGGTTTATATTATACATCTGTAACAAAGTGAGTGTGACAATTTCATCTTATTTAGATTTGACTCATTTAGCTTTTTTTTTTTTTTTTTAATTTTTATATATTTTTTTAAAACACAGCAAAATGAAATCATGACTGATCCTGAATGATCATCAAAGTTAACACTGGCTTTGATGATTTCTAATCCAGTGTTTTAGAAAATGCAACAAGGTGAGTAATGTCTTATGCTTTGCTGGTTCTGCTGTAAAGTCTTTCTTTGTAACCACACAAGGAAATGTAGGTCGAGATGCAACATTTGACCACAAGCAAAGGAAATGTGCAGGTGCATTTAAACAGAGAAGTCAGAAAAACAAAACTTCAGTGTTTCAATGCAAGACATAAGAAATGTGCTGATCAAGAGAGCTCCTCGGTGTCTATGCGAAACTAATCTAGAGCAGAGGAGCAGTTAAGGCGTAAAAATATACTTCAGTCGTGGAGAATATGAGGTTAAAAATGAAGATGATCGATCTAAGGAGGCCTGCGGTTGGTCCAGAATAGGGAGACGTGTTGGCAGCTGTGTACCTCTGGGTCCCGGACAAAGCCATTACTGGCAGTCCAACATAAAGGCAGGCCAGACCGAGCAGTGGACGAAATAAACATGGACGAACTCAATTTAGCCTCTCTCAACATTAAACATAAATAATAAGCCGTGTAGCTAACGTTAGCAAAACATTACTTAGCGACAGGTTGCTCTGGTATAAATATACTCTGTGTACAAAACAAAAAGAGGAAAAAAACGCAGCAGGAATATTTCATGGTTTCCCTTGTAAACAAAGTTGCTTAAATGGGAACAAAAAAATATATATTTCTTTACAGGTCGTTAACTACAAAACAACCAAGTGATGGCTGTGTGACAGCTGGACCGAGCGCAACAAGGAAATTAGCTCCGTTAGCAACGAAAATATTAGCTTAAAACCTTTTAAAAAATGCTCCTTTCCTGGTTCCGCGCGAGCAAAACGCAACGAGCTCACCTTCACGGGGATAAATCCACACGACCAGGAGTCCGCTCGTGTTCCGCTCAGGTCCAATTTAACCGAGCGCTGGGGGAGATTCATGTGAGGCTTTCCTGCGCTCTCCTTGTTGCTGAGGTTTTCACGCTAACAGCCGTTAGCGACTCTCTCCATTCTTCGTCTGCCGTGAAAAGGTTCTAACACACCGGATGGAGAAAAACGGCACCGCCCGCTTCACACTGCATACTTCCAGGTCAAACCGAAACTATCAAATTATTTATCATACTAAGAACTAGGGCCAACTAGTAGAAAATTTTAAAAGACACGTGTTTTTATATTTTGTTCGAAAAGTAATCATTTTGAAGGCTGGACCAATCTAAATAAGGAATTATGTAATGTACAGTTCATGTAAACGAGACAATAGGGGGAAAAAAATGTCAACCGGGAATAAATGCGAATTCATTTGGATCTTTTCCTCCTGTAATAACAACAGAAGCATTAATCTTTTATAAACTTTTTTTGCTTTCATTTTATTTCACTGTAAACAACACTGCAAACTAGTGAAGACATTGGTGTCCCATTATCTGGCTAAGAGAAGAGTTTTGTGTTGAGGAGTGACATATTTCTTATTGTTGCTAAAATAGTGTAGATCCACTTCTTTTCTTCAAACCATTGTTTGCAATGTCCGTCAAAATGTAGTTTTTCAGGCAAAAAATGAAAAAAAAAAAAAAAAAGGATCCCTGTTTTTGAATTAGAAAATAAAAATGTGTCCTGCAATTACTTTTACGTTGAGGATTTTTGGCCCACCTGGCAAAAAGTTAGTTCAGAGATCTCACAGACTGATTCACTCTCTCCCAAATACCCTCACACATTTCACCCCATTTTCCAACCATCAGTACCAACTAACTTCTGATTAATTGCTTTGAAACATAAAATTGGGCGTTTCTTGATTTTTAACCAGTAGAAGATTCAGTTGCAGTATAAAGGAATGGCTCAACCAAATCCTTTCCACCATTCATAAAACGAGTAGAGTGGGACGGGTTGCTTGATGCTTCTCTAGGAACAAGTACACAATTCTCTACAGCCGGAGGAAAAACCACATTACACTGAAGTTCTCATTATAGTTGACCCGTTCTTCCAAAACGTTCACAGCAGTGTATAAGTTCAAAACCCGGCTTGCTTTTTGTGGATTAAGTTATTGTCGGAAAGCCACTTTACTGGACCTCAATGCGCCTCTCTATATACTGCCAGCTACTGGCCAAATGTTCTACGTTTATAAAACTGTATCTGGCACCTTGTGAATATCTTCGTTTTCAGCCTTAGATATCTACAAAACCAAGGACTAAAACAAATAACTAAAAAAAAAAAAGACTATTTTCACATCGTCATAGTATTTGTGTGTGAAATCTTGAGGAAAGATATTCATTTAACACAATTTAGAATAAGGTTGCATTAAAAAATGTGGAAAAAGTGAATGTTGTGAATAATTTTTCGGTTCTGCTGCCCCTATGAACACAGGATAGAGAAACCACTGAAAACAAAGGGAACACAATCCCGACTGAGGTTATCCCTAAATCTTTTACTGTAATCTAAAATATGCTTTAAACCTAGAAGCTACAAGTTTTCAGGAAAGGGTTAAGAAAAACTAAAGCAAAATGTGTAAAATCTGAAAGTTGGGGGGGAAAAAAAAAAAAAAAAAATCATGGCAGATAACACCCAAAGCTTAGTCAAACATTTATTTTGTACATTTGCCTGAACACCATTTCAAAGAAAATGCATGTACTAATGCAAAGTGGTTATAAAAATAAAGCACATTCTTATGTAAAGGACAATCAGAAAACAGTAAATAAGGGACCGTATCACTTATTGTCAGTTCTTCTGTCACCGTTTTAACCAGTCGCCCGCCTATTAAGCAGGAAAACGATCAAACAGCATCTGTGTGATTCAATTTCTGTAACAGGTCCACGTTACCTCACTTGGGCTGGCGACAAAATAAACGTAGCAATATGGAATATATGGACGAACAAAGTCATTAATGCAATAAATATAATAGTGATACAGATTGTATTCTCCTGTTGAGCTTGCCTTATGTCTAATTAATTGGTTAAAACTTTGATAAGCTTGTGGCGTTAGTTCTGCACTGTAACATTGTTTCTAATATCCAAAATACATTGTGTTATAATAAACCTTAAGAATGCGTTAATACATTTAATAGTCATCAACACTGGTGTTTTAGTATTAAAAAAAAAAAAAAAAAAAAAAGCTTTCTGTTTGTGCGATCCATTTTAGTGAGTCGAACTTTGCAACATGCAATCTATTAAACAGCGGCTGGTGGGAGAGGAATGACTATCGTCCAATGTAAACTACAGACAATGATACAGGGCAGAGCATCTCGGTATGAACCATCCACTGACGAGACCAGCGAGTCCTGCACGCAATTCAGGCAAGTTCATGTCAGGCTTGAGTCTTGCTTTACTATCACCCTTTAAACAAACCCCATCCCTCCCTCCTAAACCCCCAAACACAAAATGCTGTCAAAGACATAGTAGGTACGTGTGGCAGCTTATTATATCAAACGTCTGTACAGAAGAATTCATTTGAATTACAAAGACAAAGAAAAACGGACGGAAGTTCCTTCTGTGTTTCAAAAACTTTACTCTCTCTCTCAACTTCTGGTAAAGAGGTAAAAGTGTTCAAAAAGGCAGTTGGGGTTTTTCTTTTTAGCAAAAAGAGAAAAAAAAAAAAAGAAAAAAAGGAAAATCCACTTCATTAAGCGATCGCCTTCGCTTCCGGCAGGAACGCCTCCCAGAACTTTATGAGCTGGAATGAAATCAGAGTGAGACAAATAAAACTGTTAAAACACGGCGTGACCAGTCGCTTAAATGCTTTTTAACTTTGATGGTTACAGTGAAATATGCACACTAAGTGGATTGTTATCCCAGGTAAAGATGCTTAAAAAAAAAAAAAGAAAAAAAAAGAAAGTTGCACACAAATTTGTTTTATACTAAACATTTCAAATTAGGAGTTCAGTATTCTTATATAATATTTCACAAGGTTAGATCATACGGAAAGGATGGCTCGTTCCCCAACCTCCCTAGATTCACTCTGCAGTTTATTACACATTTATTGTGGTTTCATTACCAATATTAAGAAATGGTTTGTCTACATTTCATTTGAACTAATTTTATAAGCTTTACGCAATCACACCCTCTACTCTAGTAGTATATGTTCTTGTACATTTAAGATAAGGGGAAAATATTGTAGGTGGTCATTACAACGTTCTGCTAAAGTCATTAAGACACCCAAAGTTGTCACTGGAAGACGTTGCCAGTTGCTCTTAACATGGTAAATAAAAGCAATGAATGATTTTTTTTTTTTTCAGTAGCTGAAAAAGAAAAGAGCCCTTAATCGAAACCGTAGATGCCTGATCCAACGCTTCATTTGGTATGATAATTACCCGTTGTTGAGACTGCAGCATTGCCTCTAAATACTTGATTATCTGACTCTTGAAGTCCTTGGCCTTTTCTTTCTGCAATGAGAAGATTCTCGTCATTGCAGGCAATAAAAAAAAAAAAAAAAAAAAATTAAATAATCATAAAAAAAAAAAAAAAAAGAGATGCAGCAATTTTCTGCACACTTGATATTTTACAAATGGTCACTATTGCCAAAGTTTTCATGACAACAAGGCAGAAATCAGGTCGAGAGGATAATCACAGAAGACGACTAGTATCTTTGCAAAGTTGAAGAAAACACTAAAAAATAAACATCTTTTGGATAGTGCAGACGAAGGGTAAAAAAAAAAAGCTAAAAGTCGTAGCGAGAAGGAAAAACTGTACCTCGAATCTGAGAACCTCCTTCCGCACGGTCATCCCGATCCTGTCGAAGTCTCTCTCATACTGAGTAACCTTCGCCTCCCACTGAACAAACAAAGGAAATGGGGCAACTGTGTCATATGATTCAAGTTATATTTAAACCTACATATTCAATCATGAACCAGCCTATGAGAAATCTGTTATAAATTTAATAATCAATATGTTTTTTTCTTCAGTTGTTGGAACGCAGTACGTTTCATTTTACAGTTTAAATAAACGCAATCAGATAGTGTCAAGTTTTATCCTTGTGTAAATAACAACGTGATTGTATTTTCCTTCATTGTTATTCCATCAGACTCTCATACTGACCCCTGATGATTAAAGAGGAGGAGAACGGCCAGATTCTGTACTCAACAAATTACAATAAATTAGGACAGGGCAATAACTCGATTTTCACTCAATTGATCCAGTTTTTTTGTTTTTCCAAGTTTTAATTTTTGGAAAATCTGGATTTTCTTTGGGTTGCCATATTTCAGAGTGAAGCCAGGCAAGAACCACCGTCTTGTTTGACAAGTGTGTTTTACAACTCCCCCCTGTCCTCCCTCCCACCAACTTTGAATTTGTCTTTTTTTTTTTTAAGGATTAAAATTGTAAAAAAAAAAAAAAAAATTTACAGATTTTATTTTTATAACCAGAAGGTAGATTAACGGGAACTGTAAGAAATTTCACCGTTTGAGGTTTGTGCTTTTAGCTTTCAGCTAAATGACTAAACGGTTGTTTGAACGCTGAACGTCTGTTGTTGTTAAGTAACAGTCAAGACTTCCCCAGGTGATGTAATGATCTGCCACAGGATCGGCGCCGTTACCTCGGCGATCTCTTCCTTCGCCTGCTGCAGCTTGTCGGGTTTGTTAGCCCACAGCAGCTTGGCTTCGGCTTCTCTCTTCTTCTGCAGCGTGCTCTGAGCCTCCTGCCATCGCTGCCACGCCCGCACACGCTGGTCAAAGCAACCCTGCAAAAAAAAACAAAAAAAAAACAACAAAAACATTCCAGATGAGTTACGACACACGAGTAGATGTGCACCAATTAATGGGTCGACGTTCAAACTCAGCCTAGCAAAAATGCCTTTAAAGTCAAAGCTCATGTGTTTATTGGTATATAAAGCTGCCACCGTACCCGCACGGCGCCAAGCAAGCGTATGTAGTCGGCGAGCAGCTCGGCGAAGACGAAGAAGTCGCTTCCTGCCTGCTCCTGGTGCAGCTGCTCCATCTTGTCCTCCACCTCGGCCAGCTGGGAGAGGGCCCGCGACAGGGCCGTGTTATCCTCGGAGTTTCCCAGCATGGCCATGCTTTTGGCAAACACAGCTGTGTTCATGCACAGCTCTGGCGTTAAGAAGGGAGGAAGGGCAGAAAACGTCTTCAGG